CCTAACAATTTCTACCTAAATTAGTTTAATTGAGTAAAGTATATATATAGTATATACATGTATATAGTATGACGTGCGGGCGCTGACGTTATAGACGAGCAGGCGCTGACGCTGCGTATCATCGATACGTACGTCAAGTCATACTTAATCAAGTCTTAATCGTTTTTCTTGTGGACTAAAAAGTAGAAAATAAATTATTGTTCGCCCCAAAAAAAACGTGGGTCGGGCTGTACGTTCACCATCAAATTTCCAAAATTTAAGTGTTGTGTGCTTATCGCTTTAATCATAAATCTGCCCGACACACGTTTTTTTTGGGGCGAACCATAATTTATTTTCTACTCTTTAGTCCACAAGAAAAACGTGGTTTTTTAAAAAGTTTTTTTAAGTATTTTATTTCCTATTTTTTATGTATGTTTATGTCTGTCACCCAACTTTGTTTATTTCATGCATCTCTAGGCTACGGACTCTGCTGCTGACATTTCATTCACTCATCGTTGTTATTTGATTTGTTACAAAGATTATAATATTTATTATACCGACTCCGATATATTTATATAAATATACTAAACATAGATGCTATAGAAAAATTGATCTATTAAAGACAATATAGTAAAGGTCACAATCTATGCTCGTTTAGTTCACGTTGAGTAAGACATTCCGCGCATTATTGTTTATGTAAAAATTATATATTTCCCCTACATCTAAGTTGATAATCTTTGCTGAGTTGCCGTATGTTCATTGACTCTGATGCGTATTATTGATGTTGTCGCTATTGCTTTGAACACATTAATTAGGCGAAAAAAATAATTAGGCGATTAAGTGATAATATCAATCAAATTTGAAAATAATCGACGCTATTTTGATACTTATTAATTAATATAATCGTTTTCTGTGACCTGCGTTAATAAAATAAGAGTTGCATTCACTGTCCGAATTTCGTATACATTATTGTGCGTCGATTTTTTCTTTGTATCATTTGGCTTCTCTTTCTTTTTTAAATTAGCATTAATTTTTATCTTCCTATAATACTCCTATATACGACCCTATAGATGAAAGTAATAAAAGTTAGATAAATATTTGGTATAACACATACCATCGAGGGCCGACGTTTTAATTCTGAAATCTTTAGGTGAGAGCGTGCAAGGTTCTACAAGAGAGTGCAAGGTTCTACAAGAGAGTGCAAGGTTCTAAAAGAGAGCGTGTATAGGTTCTACAAGAGAGCGTGCAAGGTTCTACAAGAGAGTGCAAGGTTCTAAAAGAGAGCGTGTATAGGTTCTAAAAGAGAGCGTGCAAGGTTCTACAAGAGAGCGTGCTAGGTTCTACAAGAGAGCTTGCAAGGTTCTACAAGAGAGCGTGCAAGGTTCTACAAGAGAGCGTGCAAGGTTCTACAAGAGAGCTTGCAAGGTTCTACAAGAGAGCGTGCAAGGTTCTACAAGAGAGCTTGCAAGGTTCTACAAGAGAGCGTGCAAGGTTCTACAAGAGAGAGTGCAATGTTCTACAAGAGAGCTTATATACAAGGTTCTACAAGAGAGAGTGCAAGGTTCTACAAGAGAGCTTTCAAGGTTCTACAAGAGAGCTTGCAAGGTTCTACAAGAGGGTTTTCTACCCTCAGAAGTGTCCGAAGCTTCACCCTTATATTCCTAGTAGAAGAGTCCTGCAGTCTTCATACAAAAACATCCTTCAGCATCCTATAAGTGACTGCAAGAGCCTTCCTTCTCCCCTTCTCCATAATTAGTTGCACGAAAAGGCCATCTTCCACCTTCCTAGGGGTGTGAAAAGGTCAATAACCTTCCCTTTCGATAGGTAGGTAAAGAAGGATTCTCCCCGTATATAATCAAAGAAAGATATCTTCCTTTTCTTGTTGGACTGTAAACGCATCTATTCTCATCCGACAGGAGAAGTGCAGGATACTTTTCTTTTCGTAGGTAAGTGCAGAAGGATCCTTTCCTCCGTATATGAGAGAAGAAGGATCCCTTCCTCTCTGTAGGTGAGTGAAGAAAGATCGTTCCCCCCTTCGTTGGTGCCTGCAGAAGGATCCCCCCGGCGGGGGTGGGGGCCGGCAATGCAGTTGTGGTGGTCGTGGCACAATCAGCTAATTGTGTTAGTGCTCCGACCACCAGCACAAACTTGTGCTGCTCGTCCACTCCTCTCATGCTGCTCTCTATTTCTCTCTCGCTCGCTCTCTCTACTTCCACCTCGCTCTCTCTACTTCCACCTCGCTCTCTCTACTTCCATCTCGTTCTCTCTACTTCCACCTCGCTCTCTCTACTTCCATCTCGCTCTCTCTACTTTCACCTCGCTCTCTCTACTTCCTTCTCGCTCTCTCTACTTCCTTCTCGCTCTCTCTACTTCCACCTCGCCCTCTCTACTTCCTCCTCGCTCTCTTTCCATCCTTCTTTCTTTTCTCTTTCTCTCTCTCTTACACTCTCTTTCTCTGCTCACTCCCTCTCTCTCTCGCTCTTCCTTTTCATCTCTTCATTATGCGTTCATCATATGTTCAGTGTTTCACGTTCACTTGCTCTCTCTTCATAATGCATATCATTCCTATACTTCCGTTCTTCCTATGTCTATAAACTTATATAACCTGTTCCCGATAACCTTATACACTGTATAATTCCTAATTAATTAATAATTTAATTAATATAATTTCGATAACCTTTTATAACCTATTCCTAATTTCGTTCGCTAACGCCAATGATCCCTAGTGCCGTTAACAATGCTATCACATTCAGCACCCCACATTCAGCACCCCGCATTCAGCACCCCACATTCAGCACCCCACATTCAGCACCCCGCATTCAGCACCCCACATTCAGCACCCCTCATTCAGCACCCCACATTCAGCACCCCGCATTCAGCACCCCACATTCAGCACCCCGCATTCAGCACCCCACATTCAGCACCCCACATTCAGCACCCCACATTCAGCACCATCTGTGCGGTTGATTATGGCTAGAGGAAGCATCAGGAATTCATGTTATGTTAATGCATGCCTCCCCTCACCCCATCCCCTGCACCCACCTTACCTCATCCCTTCGTCCCCTTTCAATCACTTCTCATTCACACACTTTCTCTATCCCTTCATTTTCTCTCTTTCCTCATTCAACCACAGCTTCCACTTCTCTTTAAAGAGTTTCAAGCTCTCCTTATCCATCCTCTCATCCTTCCTTCCTCCTCCCTTCCTCCTTCCTTAATCCACCCTTCCTCCTCCCTCCCATCTGCATCAATGATAAGCATCTCCTCTGATACCTCGCGTATTCATGCTAAGCACTCACTAAACGATTATAAGAACAATGACCATGCACCTCCGTTATCTATGCTAAACATTCACTAAACGATTATAAGAACAATGGCCANTTCTCCAAGGTCTCACACAGCTCAGTCCCCTCATTCTCCAAGGTCTCGCATAGCTCAGTCCGCTCATTCTCCAAGGTCTCGCATAGCTCAGTCCGCTCATTCTCCAAGGTCTCACACAGCTCAGTCCCCTCATTCTCCAAGGTCGCACACAGCTCAGTCTACTCATTCCCCAAAGTCTCACACAGCTCAGTCCCCTCATTCCTCAATATCTCACACAGCTCAGTCCCCTCATTCTCCAAGATCTCATACAGCTCAGTCCCCTCATTCTCCAAGGTCTCGCACAGCTCAGTCTACTCTTTCCTCTAAGTCTCACATAGCTCAGTCCACTCACTCCCCAAAGTCTCCTATAGTTTTGGCTAATCATCCCCAGTGCCAATATCTCGAAGTTGTCAAAGTGTGCCACTACCCAGAATGGGGAGTTGGGGGCTGCATGGGGAGGCTAGGGACTCCATCCCTATCTCGTCAGCGATGATGGATGTTGTCGTACCATCATAATCATCATCATTGTGGTCTGCCGGTTTGCGTGTTGCGCAGGTCTGCGGGTGTCGCCGTTGACTGCGTGGGGGTTGTAATCTTCTATGGCGAACCTCCTCTTAGGCCTATAGACCATAATCAAGTGGTCTGGGATTAATTCTTGGTCTGACGCATAAAAAGAAGCAATGCATCCTCAGCAGACAGCGCATCATTGCCATTTAAATCCCTCTCAAGCAAGCTTGTAGGGCCACATTGATCGCAACCAACGCTCGCAGGAACTAGTTCCTCCCTCGGAAGAATCTTTGAGCCAATCAGCTTGCCGTATTTCAAATCCTTTGAGCTCCATTTCGGCCAATCAGCGAGCCGTATTTCAAATCGAGGCTTAGCCAAGGCGGCGTCATCCGAGGGTAGCGAGGGAGACCCAATGTTTGGGTGTGCTTTCGAGGGAAAGGCGTGGCTGTGGTACCGAGGGTCATGCGTGTCCAATGCTCGTTACCATGAACAAATTAGGCCAGTATGCTGTAAATCTTGGCCAATGACATGGACATTTGGCGTATTTGGGGCGGAGCGCTGCTATTGTCGGGCCTAATTGCCCTTAAGTGAGCGCTAGCGAGAGGCGGAGTTCGCTACTTTTGCCCAATTGGCTGTGTTAAGGAGTGGTAGCCAATCAGGGTGTGAGTGCCCTAATGGTGCGCTGGTTTTCATTAGTGGTACAAATGGTGTGAAATTGTGAAGTGATGAGCGAGGTCACCACTTGCGCGTGGCACGTCACGCCGAGCACACGTGTACGACCCGACCTCGCCGCCGTACCCTTGCGTACCCGAGCCACGTGCTGCGTACCATTCTTGTTTTGTGTGTTGGTATCACAGACGTGATTCCTAAACTACGAATATTGATAATTCCCGAGTAATGCTATCACTTATGCAGTCGAGTTCCGGTGGAAAATGTTAGGACTTAAAAGCTCGTAGTGCGCGGTAAAATGACTTTATTTTGGTGAAATTATAAACAGGACTGTGCGGTTGTTGCTGAAAAAATTAGTTTCTTTCTGCTCCAACTAATGTGTGTGCAAAAACATATTCAACGAAATTCAACATTTTAAAATTTCAGTTGGATTTTACCGGAACTTTTCTTTATGATTAACAAAGACCAAGAAAACAAAAGACTTGTGGTTTGTAGTTAACCTGAACACACAGAATCTCGAAAATTTGTGGAAGAAAAAGTATGTCTGTTGTTTACAAACAGAAAGCATGGCATTGAGTGACAGAAAATCTTTTTGCATAGAATCCCTGTTGTCTCGTGAGGAAGGTGGGGGATCGCTCCCCAACTTCAATCCCCACCCGACGTTGCCCCACGACGTCGGCTTGCAGCCCCGACACCTCATGCTCCATTCCCCTGACATCTCCCCACCTCCACACACTCCCCAGTCCCCATCTATGTTCTCGCAGTCTCCAAATTCCCCAAACATGCACATGCAGCCCCAGACTCCTCGCCATTCTTCCCCAACCTCGTCCCTCACTTCTACCCTCACATCGTCAGCGGCAGCCGCGGTTCTGTTCAACAGATCTGCGCTACTCGCCAACAACCCCTCGAACCTCCCCTTCATTCCGCCCCATCTTCTTGCTCCCCATCATCCCCACCACCACAATCCCCACTTGACCTCTTCCCCTCACCACCAATCCCTTCTGTTCCCCGGGCTGCTGGAGCACCAAGCCCTCGCAGCCCTCAAGTCCAGCGCTGCCCTCGCACCCTCGGCGGTGGACTGGTTCGCGAGGGCAGGGCTTATGTACCCTCGCCTCCCGCACGACCTCGCAGGTCAGTCCCCAATTAATTAAGTGTACTTCCTCAATTATGTATTACTGTACACTACTCTGCATCATCAGTAAAGATTACAATGATGATCATTACCAATTAAGTGTACCTCCTCAATTATGTATTACTGTACGCTACGTAGCATCATCAGGAATGGTTACAATGATGATCATTACCAATTAAGTGTACCTCCTCAATTATGCATTACTGTACGCTACGTAGCATCATCAGTAATGATTACAATGATGAGCATTAATTGTTATGTTGGTTAACCATTACAACATGAGCTTCGATACCTGGATTCGTCCATGGAAGCACGGCAACTTTCCTCAAATGAAATGCAATCGGTAAATGTGGCCATTATACTTTTTCTATATTTACATTTCATTATTTCCTCTCCTGACGCAATCACTTGCAAAAAAAAAAGTAGACTTATCAGCGGCCAGTCATTAATCGGCGACCATCTTGCAGAGATATCCATGCAGCCAATGATCGTTTTATAGTTATTGTTTATCAATACAATGCACAATTGAATTTTGAAACTTATTTTTATTTCGACCATTATTTAGATGCAATCAATTGTTCTTAATAAAGAAGCCTATATATCAGAGTTGATACTGTAAATTCACGTTTCCATAAAGATTGGAAAATGTAATGTGTGAAGGTAGCTTGAAAATAAATGCTTCCTGGAAGCTTCTGTCTAAAAAATGAGAAACTAAATTTGTTTATTATTCGACCAAAAAATTACGAATAATTTCGACCTGTAATTTGCGACGAATATCGCATGATTAATGGCACCTGAACTCATCATTTGTTCAATTTATTTACTAATGATCCCGGAAAATCGTTTAATCATTTGACGATTCCGTCATAGATTAGTGCTCAAAAATTCTGGCTTGTATGATTCATGCGACGTGGTGAGTAATTATGAATCAACAGAGCCCCCAATTAAAGTGTAATTTAACTCGGCTTTTTTATTAGCGTTTCTTAATAAAGGTTCATTTAATTAATAGGGCTAATTAAGATTAAAGATAAGAAGGGGCTGACGGAAGGATATTCACGTACGTTCGTTATCGCGGCTATATGGAATGTGGATAAAAAAAGCTATAAATTGAGAGTTGATATCAACATTCTTATCTCTCTTGCTACAGATGATTTACATAACTAAAGAGTGAAGTTGACAACGTTATTTTGAATGTCTCTTGCAAGATGAAATGTATAAACTATGGTAGGAATAGCGCTGAATGTATAAACTATGGTAGGAATAGCGCTGAAGTTTCATATTCGAAACTTCAGCGTATTTTAACCAAAATTTATACGCGCATGTTTTGGTAGGAATAGTATTGTAACAAAGAGAATAAATATATAGGGGGAAATTAATTTATAGTTGAACAGATCTGAAAATGAAAAGCCGTAGAAGTATATATTACACGAGTAATAAGGTTAATACATCGTTGGCGGTAGGCTGTCTCAAAGTTCAGAGCCGATGAGCCCTCGCTATATACAATTTGGTGAATATTCCCGCAATTAATGTACCTTCTTCACATTCATTGTAATATTCGCTATTATCTACCCTCATATTCCCTGATACATTCGCGCTAGTATTCTTACCGTGACTATCTTGATGATGGAGCCGTGGAAAATTCTTACCGTGACTGTACCGTGACCACTGTAAAGTGGAAGCTTATTACCGTGATTGTGCCGTGATCACGGTACTGCCTAAGCTTTTTACCGTGACTGTATCATGGACACAGTAGCGTCTAAGCTTCTTACCGTGATTGTACTGTGATCACGGTACTGCCTAAGCTTTTTGCCGTGACTGTATCGTGGTCACGGTAACGTGTAAGCTTCATACCGTGACTACCGTGATCACGGTACCGGTGAAGATTCTTACCGTGATTGTACCGCGATCACGGTAGCGGGTAAGCTTCTTACCCTGACTGTACCATGATCACTTTACCGCCTAAGCTTTTTACCGTGACTATCGTGGTCACGGTAACGTGTAAGCTTCTTACCCTGACTGTACCGTGATCATTTTACCTCCTAAGCATCTTACCATGCATGACTGTACCATGATCATTTTACCACCTAAGTTTTTTACCGTGACTGTTCGTCCAAACTCCCGAGTTTACCGTGAGGTGTCAAGAGGCGCCGCGATAACATGATATGATTTTCTTCACCCCGGGGGCAATATTAAGGTCGTATCACCGCCGGCCGCTCATAAATCAGCCGTGATTTTAATATCAATATTTCTGCTGTTACGTTCGACTTACGCAGAGGTTAGCGCACTGGTGAGAGCGTACGCTTATCTCAATATGGAAGTAAATCTATTTATTGCTGCTTAAATTACGTGTTGGTTGATTTTGAGATGAGGAAAGACTTAGCGCTGCAAATTCAGCCATAGAAATATAAATTATATATATTTTTATTCTATATTTGAGTGGGGACAGTTCTTCCTGTGGTGCAGATGGTGCATAATGTGATGATGGTGCAGAATGTTTAATGATAGAGTTGGTGCTTGGATAGTTAGGCCGGATGGCTTGGCAATTTATAGTTTATATTTTTGAAGAGCTAATTTAATGTACAGGGTGCGGCGCGGGAACTTACTTATTTGAATTGCGCGCCACGTGGCGGCCATTAGTCCTAGGAAGGTGGCGCCATGCGCAATATGGTGCGCGGGCTATGAAGTTTTTCGTCCACTCAGTTCAGTTGCGACCATGCAGTGGTCTTTTGTAAAAAAGAAAGAATTAAAACGCTATCTTTAATACTTTTTACTTTGTGATTTTTTTAAAAGAGTAAGTTCCCACGCCGCACCCTGTACGTAGCAGTCCCAGCTTTGATGCGTGGTCTTGTGAGGGATAAATGTTACATAATTATTATGATGATATTTATTGTTGTGATGGTGGTGGCATTAATTGTGATGATGGTGGGCATTGTGAAGGTAGTGAGTGTTGTGATGGTGTGAGCGTTGTGATGATGGTGAGTGTTGTGATGATGGTGGGCATTGTGATGGTGGTGAGTGTTGTGATGATGGTGGGCATTGTGATGATGGTGAGTGTTGTGATGGTGGTGAGCGTTGTGATGGTAGTGAGTGTTGTGATGATGGTGAGTGTTGTGATGATGGTGGGCATTGTGATGGTGGTGAGTGTTGTGATGATGCATTGTGATGATGGTGAGTGTTGTGATGGTGGTGAGCGTTGTGATGGTAGTGAGTGTTGCGATGATGGTGGGCATTGTGATGATGGTGAGTGTTAACGCGATACGTGCTCACCTATATAAGTTCCATCACAGTTCTACCCATCAATTGCATATGACCAATAATTTGTTTACAGAATATCGTTCTCCGTATATGTTGATCCTCAAATTCTTACGAATTTTTTACTTTCTCAAGGAATTTCAATAAAAAAATATTATTATAAAATTTATATGTAATATTTGTATTATGTGCTTATAATATAAAATTGTATTAAAAACATATTATATACATATACATATTATATATAATATGTATAATATTTATTCTGTATATGATATTTACATGTTCAGCACATCAAATGAACCGGAAGCACAAAGCCGATATTTCTGCAAACCAATGTTAAATGAATCAAAATATAATATAAATTCTCATACGAGATCATACATTGAATACTTGCCTACACACGGTATTCGCAGCCACACATGTGTACAGTACGCATGTTCTCTGCCTCTCGTGTGTCAATACATACGCACATGTGTACAAGTAAAATTGTGTACATACGCACATGTGTACAAGTACAATTGTGTACATACGCACATGTGTACAAGTACAATTGTGTTCATACGCACATGTGTACAAGTACAATTGTGTACATGCACACACGTGTACAAGTACATTTGTGCACATACGCACATGTGTACAAGTACATTTGTGTGCATACGCACATGTGTACAAGTACATGTGTGTATATACGCACATGTGCACAAGTACATGTGTGTACATGCACACATGTATACAAGTACATTTGTGTACATGCCCACATGTGTACAAGTACATTTGTGTACATGCACACATGTGCACAAGTACATGTGTGTACATGCAGACATGTGTATAAGTACATTTGTGTGCATGCACACATGTGTACAAGTACAACTGTGTACATACGCACATGTGTACATGTACAATGTGTACATACACACATGTGTACCAGTACATGTGCATACATGCGCACATGTGTACAAGTACATGTGTATACATGCACACATGTGTACCAGTACATTTGTGTACATACGCACATGTGAACATGAGCATGCGGGCACATGAGAACTTACGTACACCATACTTAATTATCGCTTTATAAGAAACTGTAACTATAATATAGGTGGTGATGTTAATGATAATGATAGGTAACGATGATAGATACGGATAATAGGTAACAGTTATATAGGTAAAGGTGTTGGTAACGATCATAGGTGACGATGATAGGTGACAGTGATATTAAGCTATGACAGGCGACGATGATAGGCAACGATGATAGTTATGGATTATTGGTATTAATTATAGGTAATGATGATAGGCGATGATGATATTTAGAGATGATATTTAGCGATGATAGGTTGCGATTATGGTAATGATGAAGGAGATCGATGATCGAAACTGTAAGAGGTTGCTTTTCTATGCATTTCTTATATGAATGGTAATTTAGTATGACCTGAGGGATGGTTCAGTTGTAGCTGGATCCGAGGATATAGAGGAACAGCGTAAACTATTATTGAATATACTTTTGGATTATAGTTCGGCTTACAGTTTGGGATAGTCTAAGTTTATAAGTTGATGATTGATAACGATGACTATGTAATGATGACAGATATACGGTAATAGGTACCGGTGCTATATAGGTACAGTTTAATCTAATTTCTAGGTAATCTATCATTTAATAATACACAAAAATCAATTATGAACGACACATTTAGATTCAATTCTTATATTAAGTGACATTTTCTCTGAAACTGTGATATTTTTTTTA